TTTTATACAAGAAATAATCTGTGCTAGAATGCTGGGTTGTTGGAAGATTGTTCTGGAAGCAGGTATAAAATTACTTGGAGGCAGCTGGGCAGAGTGAAACATGCCTATAAATCCAGGAATTTAGCCAGACCCTATCTCAAAATAAAAAGAACCAGGGATGTGGCTCTGTGGTAGATTCAATCTCCAGGACAACCAAAAATATAAATTTCTTTTTATTGGGGGGCAAAGCATAAAAGGTAGGAAAACAGTAGACAAGGACATCATATGGAATGTTTACTATAGTAGTAAAAATAGTCAAAACTGAGTACAAATTAGAGTGGTACGTAAAAGTGGAATGGAGGGATTGATGTTAAGATATCACCACTAAGCTTCAACCAACTGAGTTAACTTAATACTAATAACATAATTCATAGCTGTCCTAAGCCAAGCATGGCAGCATGTACCTGTAGTCTCAGTTACTCAGGAGGCTCAGGCAAGAGGACTACTTGAGCCCAGGAGTTTGAGGCCAGCCTAGGCAACATAGTACGACCTTGTCACACACACACACAAAAAAAAGCTGTCCTAGTCAAGTGATGTTAGACCTACAAGTTCTTAGTTCTCAGTTCTCTTCAAATTGATTAGACAAAAATGTAGTAAATATAAATGCAGAAAATTCTCTCTCCCTTTATAAGTACAAATGATTCCAGCAGTGTTTCTCACTCTCTTCTGAGTAAACACCTTGACCATCTCAGTTAACTGAAGCTTATCAAAGACTAAAGATCTGGCAACATCCACTAGTCAGTTGTATTTTCATCATAGCCTCCAGCCCCACATTGGTCTTCAATGTGTTAACATCAAGAAGAAATTGAAACTGTGTAAAATACATGGGGAAAGCTAATTATCCCACATTAAATGCAGTCCCTTTTCTTTTTTTTTTCCAAAGGAAATGGTTATTGATGCTATGAAGAGTTAAATTATAATAACACATGCCAGGGAGATGATGTCAGGGAAGGTGTGGTTAGGCCCTGTACAAGTATGAAATTCCTTTAGTCCCAAATATTTCCTCCTTCAACCTCACCTATACTCCAGTCTCCCTACTGAGACAACTCACTCAAACACTGAAGACACAGTGGCAAGACCCTAGAAATAACTTTTTTTTTTTGCTTCAGCCCTATAAAAAAGACTAATTGAAGGCTATTAAAGCTGATGTTTTTAAAAAGTACATTAAATTATCTTCCAGAATCCCTTTTTGAAGTCCACATTTCCCCTTTCTGTAACTATTTTAATTCCAAAGAAATAAATGGGAATTTAACATTATATCCCAATAAAGATTGCCTTTATTAGGCATTATGCTTTTGTTGACTGCATTCTTATATTTAACACCAGCCAAAAAGTAAGAAAAGTATGATTGTCATGAGCTTCTTAGAAACTTCTCCAGTAAGTATATATTTCAAAATAAAATAATCCTGCTGGGTGTGGTGGCACACACCTGTAATCCCAACAACTCATGAGGCCGAGGCAGAAGAATCATAAGTTCAAGACCAGCCTAGGCAGGACCCTATCCCCAAATAAAAAAGTGAAAATAAAAAGGGCTGGGGAGGACTGGGGAAGAGAAAATTATACAAGGCTTGTACAAGGCCCTGGGTTCAATCCCCAGCACCACAAAAAAAAAAAAAAAAAAAAAAAAAAAAAATGGGGKGGGGGTAATGGGGATGTAAAGCACCTGGGATTCAATCCCCAGAAAAAAAAGAAGGGGAAAAAATTAGGTAATCCTACTTTTTAAAATCTAGTAAATAATACACTTTAATATAAGCAAGTCACAAGTGGAACACAAAAAGCAACTTTTCAAAATGGTAATAACTGGCTGGGGATGTGGCTCAAGCGGTAGTGCGCGCGCTCGCCTGGCATGCGTGCGGCCCAGGTTCGATCCTCAGCACCACATACAAAGATGTTGTATGTTGTGTCCACCGAAAACTAAAAAAAAATCTCCCTCCCTCTCTCTCTCTCTCTCTCTCTCTTAAAAAAAATTTAAAAATCAAAATGGTAATATCTCTGGAAATCTGTTATTCTAAAAACCACAGGTGATGACTATAGACAACAGCAAATTATGGTGTAAAAATTCTGGTCTTAAAAAAAAAAGTAGCAGATATGTATAATTTGATTGCTTTTTTATTAAGGGATGGGTGCTGGGAACTAAACTCAGAGCTTCCTGAGTATGCCAAGCACATGCTCTAACACTGAGCTATATACCCCTATTTCCATTTTTTAAACWTTTGGAGCAGGTCCAACAACTTTATTACAACTTTATTACATAGATTGGGTCCACCTGATATCTTCCTATATCTTACAGGTTATCTTAACAGAAACAGCAAATTAGCTACTGTCAAGATTAAAACTCTGTTTTGGCATTTTAAAAAAGTCTGGATGCCAGTACAGTGACACATGGCTGTAATCCCGGTGGCTCATGAGGCTGAGTCAGGAGGATTGCAAGTTCAAGGCCACCTCAGCAACTTAGTGAGACACTGTCTCAAAATAAAAAAGGGCTGGGATGTAGCCCTGTGGCAATGAGCCTCAGGGTTCAATCCCTGGTACAAAAAAAAAGTCTCAAATGACACATACACCAAACTATTACCAGTTACTTTCCTTGAGGAATTGGATTGAGTAAAGAACTATAGGACACAAAGGGAGGACTATTTTATAAATCCCTTTATGTTTAGTTTAATAAAGGGTATACCTTACATTTATCACTAAAAAGCTGTTATTTTTTAAAAATTAATGTTAGATTATTTTTAAAAAGCACAAATTACATGAATAAATGAAAATGCATCCATAACACTTGTCCCAAAACAGAGAAACAAACATATTAAGCCTATATGTCAATAGCAGACTAGAAACATGGTAAAGCATTAGTTTAAATACACTCAACATTCACAATCTAACAAAAACACACAAGAGTCTTATATACAGACACAAAAGGATGTAAATATACAGCATCCTTAGATGTCTCATACATAACAGTGACCCATAGAACCCAAAGATTGACAAACATATCAGTAACAATGTAACTAATGTTATACAATGTTATTCCTATCCTGCCCACCCGTCCCAATGTTTCCTGAATTTCTTCCTATATCTTACAGGTTATCAGGAAGAGATATGAAATTCGAACTCAAATTTACAACCTTACCTTTTGTTCCCTATACTGCACTAGATTTAGAAGCTAGTTAAACACTTCTTATTCTCCCAGGGGGTAGAGGGAGTGGAGAGCTGATGATGAGAGAGGTTTTAGATATCTTCAAATACATAAAACCCTGAAATAGGAAAACAGTCAATTTTGGAGATTCATTTTACTTTATTTTAGTGGGTTCTGAGTAACCACAAATGTGGAGAGAAAAAAAATCTGGAAAGAAGCTTTAATACAGTACTATACCAATTTGAAGAAAATAAAGATAGATGAAATATTCCCCTCTCAAATATGTATTATATATTATGTATTTATATATTATGTATATATATTATGTAATATATTTTATGTATTATATAAGTATAATACATAAAACTGTATAACATTTAATAGGAGGTTATCAGGATATGCATATTCAACAAATATGTATGAACCTTTCATTCTTAAAGACATAAACAGAATAAAACTATATAAACTAACGACCATAACTTAACATTAAGTTTGGGTCTATAAACATTCACCCACTAGGGGCTGGGGAAGCAGTTAAGTGGTTAGAGCATTTACTCAGCATGCATGAAGCCCTGGGTTAAATCCCAATATCAACAACAAAAAATAAATAGATAAATTCACCCACCGCCCTGATTAGACACTTAGGTTTAAATCTACCTGCAATGATCTCTATAGGTACAAGAGAAAGCAGCAGGGATCTTTGCAACCTCCAACATTCTATTAGATGAGCAAAAATCCCTGTCTTATAAAGAACAGTTACAATACCCAGACAGTGAGTAGAATCTTCCTGCTACAGCATAAAGTTTCTTTCTTTCTTTCTTTTTTTTTTTTTTTTTTTTTTTTGGCAGTGCTAGAGATCAAAGTCAGAGCCTCATGCAAGCTATACAAGCACTCTACCACTGAGCTAAATTCCCAGCCCCATAAAATTTCTCTTAATCAATACTGTGCCCTGAAATGCCAAGAAACTCCCAAGGATATTCCCTGGCAAATATGGGCAAGATTGTCCATGTCTTTCCAGACTGCCYATGTGCCCAACCACAGTACATATCTCTGGAAGCCATGGTTAATCATAAAGACTCTAAGGATCCCTGCTAAGCCTGGTTATCTGCAGAGCTCCAAGTATCAGATCATAATAAGCAAGATCCAAAGAATCACAGACCTTTATGCTTTAATCCCAAGGCATATCATCTCTCAAGATTCCTTCTTTACAAAATGAGTGGGATAGGGTCTCAGGGTCTAGGAGAACATACCCAGTTCTTGATGAGCTGTAAAACTGCACTACCTGTGATTTCAGCAATCTGGTGATAGTAAGGAAGGTAGGGGGCTTGGGATGTAGCTTATTGGTAGAGTGCTTGTCTGGCATGCAGGAAACTCTGGGTTTGATCCCTAGCACAATATAAATACATACATAAAATAATAAATAAATAAAAGAAAGAAAGGCAGAGTGGAGGAGAATAGACATTGTTGACCAAAAGTCAAAATGAGTTTGTTGGGAGTGGGCTAGGGGACGTGGTCTGAGATGACATATTATCCCCATGGAGATAGGTATGTATCATCTGGGAGTCTAACTTCATTTCTCAAGGATACAAACTTGCAAGCTTGATTTGTTTTTAATTTCCATGCCTTCTCAGGCCTCATAAACGGGGACTGTAAACTCTTTTAACACCAGAACCAGGTGAGAAATGGCACCAAAAGAAGTAGTGGAAAAGAGAGCACTGAGCCGAGGGAGGAACTCATTCCCCTCTTAAAGGAGAATGCTAAAGCCAAGGGCACTCCCGGATCCCCAGAAAAGGAAGTAACTGAATTCCAAAAAAGCTCTTTTCCCTACCTTTTTGTTGTTCTTGTTATAGCCAAAAGTTGAAATCCCAGGCCTGGAAGTCACTGATAGCAGCATTTTCTCTTTAATGTTAGAGAACTGAGAAAGAGAAGAGTGAGAAGGAAAGGGAGGGGGTAAAGAGGGCGAAAGAGAGAGGGAGAAAAAAAAGGGGGAGGGAGAGGGAGAAGGGAGGGGGAGGAGAAAGGGGAGAAAGGGAGCAGGAGAGAGAGATGGGGGGGCTGCGGGTAAGAATGAGTTAGGGCTGCTTCTACGTCACTGAGAGAAGTTAGCCCAGAGTCTGAACGAGCCACTTCCACTGGGTCCTAATGCCCAAGATATTAGTTTTTTGTTTTCCATAAGCTCAGTAGTTAAAGCTAGAAAGAAGAATTTGTAGGTCTAACCCTTTTCAAATTCATCCCCTTTACTCTGTGAACAAATTCTGATTCTTACGAAAAGACAACAAAAATTTCCCTTTCCTCAGATCTCAGCTATAAGAAGATTTTAAGCTTGATGCCAAAGGGACCACTGAGATATTGACTTGGTAAATACATAAAGAAAACAAATTCCCAGCAACTCAAGAGGCTGAGGCAGGAGGATAGTTCAGAGCCAGCCTTAGTAATTTAGCAAGTTCCTACGCAGCTTAGCAAAGAAATGAAATATAAAAAGGGCTGGGGATGTGGTTCAGTGATTAAGTACCCCTGGGTTCAATCCCCTACCAACAAAAAAAGAAAATACACTGAGATAAAGTATATTTAGAGTGATCTTAGTGCTCTAGTAAAGAACAGAGGAACACACCAAAAAGCAGAGAAAATTAAAAATGGGGAAAAATGAATTTTAGATCCTTAGGTAGTTCTGTTTCTCCCAGATTACACTGATATCCTGGGACTCCTATTTCAGATTCTCTCAGGAAGGAGTTCATATTTAAGAAGGCATTATCAGGCCGGGTGGTGCATGCCTGTAATCCGAGCAGCTTGGGAGGATGAAGCAAGAGGGTAGATCACAAGTTCAAAGTCAGCCTCAGCAAGTAAGCAAGACCCTAAGGAACTTAGTGAGGCCCTGTTTCAAAATAAAAAGATAAAAAGGTCTGGGGATGTGGCTCAGTAGTTAAGTATCCCTGGCACCCTCCCCACCAAAAAAGCCATTATCAGACTGAAATATATCTTATTTGACTCTTTATCCCACTATTTCCAAGTCTTTTAAGATCCATGAAGCTGAAATAAGTACAGCAACTCACCAAAACTGGAATTTATGTCCACGCTGAAGTTTGTAGAGTTGGGAGGGCTGCTTAAGTCCTCTTGGAGCTGTAAAAATAAATATATACATAACTATTTAAAGAACATATGTTTTAAAGAAGAAAAATAGAAAAATAGAAAATTTCCTAGGGAGAAAAACATAACTTAAGAGTAAGAACCTAACACAGTTGTAACAAGATTTAAATCTAATAGTTTCAAATAAATCCCTTGTAGAARAAGCCTTAACAAGAAAATTCTAGTAAGCCCAAAACTTAACATTGATACCCAGGAACCCTCCCCATCTAAGTGGAACAGGACTTAGAATGAAAGTGTTCAAATCCCTTCTTAAGGCCACCCTGCTACATCACAAGTACCCTCCAAACATCAATTGATCCAGTCTGTTTTGTCACAACAAACATAAAGCTCCCAAAATGAAGTTCTGGTCTCCAGCCTGGTTTTCCTGTCACTTTTTTTTTTTTTTTTTTTGCTATGATAATGGAACAGACAGTACTAGCATTCTGCAGAGTAAATACACACATACACATCCACCCCCAGTCTGTAACTTTCATTTCCAATAGGACAGGAAGTGCCTGCTCAGCTCAAGGGACACAGGAAGGGTGGGAACAGCCTCAATGTGGGAATTGCAACTGAGATTGGAAACAGGAGCCAATTACAGCAAATAAATAAATAACAGCATCTCTCAGAAATGACATATTTTTCAAAAAAGCACCTTCYCTGCCCTCAGATACTCATTAATTATATACCAATTTATCCTTGCTATTGAAGTCCTTGGTAGATACCTTCTCCTTTGGCTTAATGTGGTTCAGAAAACTTACTCTTGAGGACCAAATCCATAAAGGCAATCAATTTAATTTTTTAAAATTCTAATATTCACTTTTTGAAGGCTGAGTTTTTTTGTTTGTTTTGTTTGTGTGTGTGCTGGGGATTGAACCCAGGGTTCCTGCAGGCTGCAGTAAAGGCAAGCACTCTACCAGTGAGCTATGTGCTTCTTTTATTTATTTATTTATTTATTTATCTATCTATCTATTTATTTATTTATTTATTTAGATGTTGATGGACCTTTATTTTGTTCATTTATTTGTATGTGGTGCTGAGAATCAAATCCAGTGCCTCACACATGCTAGGCAAGCGCTCTGCCACTGAATCACAACCCCAGCTCCCCCGTGTTTCTCTTTTGTAGTTGTCATCCTACTGTTGTGTCTCACTGTAGTTGGCTATTCATGGTGGTTTTTTTTTAATTGTAAATTAACAATTTATAGCTCTTATATGGAGTACAAAGAGATATGACTTATGAATATAATATGGGATAACTGAATCAAGCTAATATATCCATCACCTCAGATAACCCATCATTTCTTTGTGGTGAGGACATTTGAAATTTCTTAGTAATTTTGAAATGTACAATGAACTATTTTTTTTCCTTAAAATATTTTTTAGTTGTTGATGGAACTTTATTATTTATTTATATGTGGTGCTGAAAATCAAACCCAGTACCTCACACATGCTAGGCAAGCGCTCTACCACTGAGCCACAACCCCAGCTCCTGTAATACACTATTAATAAAATTCACCAAGGTGTGCAATTAGATCTTTAAAAAAAAAGAATCTCATTTCTCCTGAGATTTTGTACCCTTTTATACTCCCCCCACCTCTCAGCCTTTCTAACAGCCATTCTACCCTCTGCTTCTGTGAGTTTGATTATTTTAGATTCCACATGTGATGAGAACATGTAGTATTTGTTTTTGTGTGTCTGGATTCTTTTACTTAGCATAATGTTCTCCAGTTCCATCCTGCAGTTACAAAATGACAGAATTTCCTTCTTTTTAAAGGCTGAATAGTCTTCCATTGTGAAAATATGCCATATTTTCTTTATCTATTCATCTGTTGAGAGACATTTAGGTTGATTCTATAACTTGGCTATTATGAATAGTGTTGCTATGAATATGAAAATGACAACATCTCTTTGACAAACACTTCAAATCTTATAAATTAAGTTTGTTTTTAACTGATACATAAAATTATATCTATTAATGTGTAGCAGGCAATGTTTTGATATATGCACATATTGTGTAATATTTAAATCAAGTCAAACATACCTAACCCCTCAAATATTTTCATTTGTTTATGATAAAAACATTAAAAATCATTACTTTTAACCTTTTTTTAAAGAGATGGAGCCTGAGCCAGGTGCAATGGTGCACACCTATAATCTTAGCTACAGGAGATTTGAGGCAGGTGGTTTGAAAATTTAGGCCAYGGGGCTGGGACATAGCTCAGTTGATAGAGTGCTTGTCTTGCATGCACAAGGCCCTGAGTTCTAATCCCCAGCACCCTCTCCCCCAAAATAAAAAATAATGTAAAATATGAAAAAGGGCTGGGGATTTGGCCCAGTGGTTAAGCACCTCTGGGTTCAACCCCCCCGTACCAAAAATAAATAAATAAAATAAAATTTGAGGCCAACCCGAGTAACTCAGCAAGATTCCATCTCAAAGTAAGATTTTTTTTTTTTTTTTTTAAAGGGGAGGATGTAGATGTAGCTCAGAGACAGAGTACTTGCCTAGCATATACAAAGCCCTGGGTTCAACTCCAGCACTGGGGGGAAGAAAGATTATATTAGGACAAAGCAGGTTAAACTACATACCTGGAAAATACTAGATCAGAAGTTCCACAGGGACCACCCAATCCAATTTTTCCTTTCTCTCTCCCCCCATTAGCAAATGAACTGATTATTCAAAAATTATTTTCGTGGGTCTGGGTTGTAGCTCAGTGGTATTGCAGTCGTCTGGCATGTGTGAGGCTCTGGGTACTATCCTCACATAAAAATAAATAAATAAAATAAAGGTATTGTGGCCAACTATAACTAAAAAAAATATTWAAAAAGAATTATTTTCGTAACTCCCTATCTCCTGTAAATTGGCATAACATCTTTAAGCTCTTAGAAACAAACAAACACCACAGAATCAAAGAGCACTAGGTACAAGATACCCCAGCTCTCATTTTCCTTTGAATCCTACTAAACAAAGAAATCGAAGCAGATCTCTGGGGGTAGAGATATGGATTTTATGCATCTTAAAACTGAACCCCAAGGGCTGTGCTGTAGCTCAGTGGTAGAGTGCCTGCCTAGCATGTGTGAGGCACTGAGTTCAATCCTCAGCACCACATAAAAATAAATAAAGGTATTGTGTCCACCTACAACTAAAAAAAAAAAAAGAAACTTAACCCCAGGGGCTGGGGATGTAACTCAGTGGTTGAGCGCTTGCGTGGCCATACTTCAGAGACTGGGTTTGAAACTATTTAAAAAACTATAAAAAATATTAAAAAAAAAAAAACAACTTAACTCCATTTTCCCCTAGAGTGGTGTACCAGATAGAAAGGAGACAAAGAAGGATCCAAATAAAT